AGGATTGTTGGGGTGCAAACCCAAGTCCCACATCGGAAGCTGTGAAGAAAAGTTTCACACCTTATAAGTCCCAAGTGAACTCCACTAGTACGAGGCCTTTTGGAGAATATCCAAAAACAAATTCGTGCGGGCTCAGCCCAAAGCGGACAATATCATACTAGTGTTGAGTTGACCCAGTCCCAACAATGGTATCGGAGCGGACCTTGACCCTGGTGGAGAACAAAGCGACAAAGTGGGCATGTCTCGAGTCAAGGAGCATATCGGTGGGCACGTCAAAGATGATCAGGAGGATCATGTCCTAAGGTAATTGGACAATCCGACGTTGCCGAGCACGTCAAGGAAGAGCATGTCCTAATGTAACTGGACATTCTAAGGAGGGGGAGTATGCTCGACGTTGCTGAAAGGCCAAGAGGGCTGAGCTTTGTTCGACGGATGTCCCGGAAGGTGTGGAGATGCGCAATAGAAGTTGGGTCGCACATGGATTATGGCAAAAAGACCTCGCTGGCTGTTGATGAGCACCAAAAGAATGGTATGCAGGAAAAGGTTCGGCGGAGGCATACCGATGGTACAAGAAACAACGGCAGTGCACTCAAGTAGCGTCGCACGAGGGCGTTTGCGACTTGAAGTGGAGGAGTTTGTCATGGGCTGACATTCCTGCCCCTGGTTCTCGGCCATAGTCCATCCCATGTGTGCGAGCCCTTGTCCTGTACGACCGACTAATGACCCATATCTTTGTGCAAGTACGTGTTTCGCATGATTCCCCATACTGTATGGTATATCCCGGGCGTGTTGCGCACAGGGGACGGCTGGTCTGGGCTTCAGCGCAGGCATGGCCTAGGTGCCGGGCGTCTCAGCTTCCAGACACGTTACACAGTTTTTAATAAAAAAACAATAATTTTGATTTCGACGGTGAGATCCACGGTTGGGTTTTATATGAATTTTAGTTCAATAAACTTAATATTTTATTTATTTTCTAATTTTTATTTAGTTTCATTTTTAAATAAAAAATTTTATTTAAACATGTGTATATTATTTTCTCATTTAATATAACTTATTTTTTCTTACAGCAGTAAATCTTACTTATTAAATCATTATAATTCATTTCATAAGCTTAAAAAAATATATAAAATGATAAAAAATATCTTTTTAGTTTTTAAAAATAAAAAAGTATTAACATATGATATATTTAATTGAAAATTATATTTTGTCTTTATAAGTTTACAAAAATTTAAAAATATATATTAAAGGCATAATTTAAAATTTTAACATATAAATTATAATCTTCTTAAATTGTATTTATTTAAGCTACAACATATTTTATACAATAATTACTTGTTTAATTCTTACTTTAAGTTGATTTTTTTTTTTTTTTTTATACATTTAAAAGTGTATATGATTCAAGTTCATAAAGCATTTAAAATTTTAATTTATAATCGTGCCACGTTTTTTTTTTTTTTTTTTTTTATTTATTTGCAATTCATTTAGTTTATAGGAAACAATTCTATTCACCTACAATTTTATTAGTCCTGTTTTAATAAATAATGACTAATTTATCATTTTCTTTTTACTTCTTTAGTGCACATTATCTTTTTATCAAATTTTTAATAAATTTTTTATAATACTGTTATTATATTGTTTATCTTCTCCATTTGTATATTAAAATATTATTATTTGTTAGTTTTTTTTTTTGTTTTTTTTTATAACGTGAAAATCTGTAGCCGCTACCCGAAAGTGCGCACGTAAATCTCCGGCCGAACCTAATACCCTGGTAATTAAGCCCGACAATGCAAATCACACTAGGCAAACTATGTGTGACAAATAGACCTGGAGGCGTCGGAGTCATTATTTGCCGTCTTTGTTCCAAAGCAAAGTGGTATAATTAGCCCGGATAGAATGAATAATAATTTATTTCAACTAGAAAATAATAACAAATAAAGACAACACCCAATCGTTTGTCCTTCGAGAATAATAATAATAATAATAATAAACCCTTCATCATAAAAATTATGCCCATATCATTGGACTATCATTGGACAATAATTTTAATAAAAGTAAGTAAAAATAGTTACTTTTTATATTAATAGTAAAAATATAAAGGTGGCATATCTTTTTAATGAAAAGGAAAATGAGAATATTTTTTTTATAACAATTGAAAAAAAAATAATACTTCCTTCGTTTAAAAATTATAATCCTATATGTGTTGGATACAAAGTTTAAAGAATAGATATTATATTGATAGTCGGTAAAAAATATGAGTAAAAATTTTTTTTTTGCCTTTATGAGTGTATTAGAGTAAAAAGAAGTGACAGTTGTATGCTAAATAATTTTATGATGATATGAGTATTTATGAAAATGCGACTATTGGTTTGGAACGGACAAAAATGATAAATAAGACTATATTGTATCGAGAGATGGAGTATTATTAAATTTAATCGGCAGATGGAGTAATAAATTACAACATAAATATTATAATTTTTAGAATTGTTTTTGTTTATTTATTTTTGATTGTTGGACCACCCATATATTAAAGGAAATTTTAGCCTATATCTTTCAATAGATTACTTAAATAAAACTTTATATTATTAGGCCAAATTAATTTACTGTTAAATTAACATTTTAAATTAATAAATAAATATAGTACAATCCGAAACAACAAAAGAAACAAACTTGTCATCGACTCACACAATAAAAAAGATAAAACGTGTAATTGGTCCCCTCAATTAGGTATATAAATAATCATGCATAAAGAATATAATATTTCATGGTGTGACAAAAAATAAATTTAATTCAAATATAGTATGCATATTCGAATTGTTTGTACAACTCCATTTATGGTGTGCTATCTAAGTCAATTCTTACAATATAATATTTCCTCAATTAGCCGACAATAACATATTTTGCTATTTAGGACGTCCTTTATACAATAATTGTGTTTTTATAGTAAGTTTGGACAACAAAATATTAATTAAAAATCTTACTATTTCAAAATAAAATCGTATATTCTTTCCGTATAACTAAATTATGAAAATATTCAATTTTTAGTTATACGCTAAATTTACATTTTATTTATAGTAAAATATTTTATTCAATCATAATTTCATTACTCATATTTTAATAAATAATAATAATGTTGCCATTAGTTTTTTTTCAACTTATACCATCATTTTTTTAAACTCATATAAATTTTCTATAATACCTCGAGTTTATATTTTATCTTTCTCATTTTACTTTTTATCTATCTACTTTAATATTATAATATCATTATTTTTAAATTTTTGTATCCGACTAAAATTACATAATTTTTTTCCGGACCGAAGGACTACTAAAATATCATTTTTCAACATGTATATTTCTTATTAAGGGTATGAAGCAATATAAAATTTGAATTCGAGAGTAAAAGTTTATAGGTATCATTTACTACCCCTAAATAAATCTTTAGGTTTATTTGATTATATTTTGAAATTAATTTGAAATGAAATGTTGAATTGAGGTTTTTTTTTTATATTATTTTCTTTTATTGGAGTTTTGTTTTGCTTTTTTTGTTTTGGTTTTTCTTCAAATAGTTGTACTGATTGATATTTCATGTGAAAAATAATTTATTTTTATAAGAAAACACAATTTTTATCTAATAAAAAAAAAATTAAAACCAAAATTAAAAAAGAAAAATGATCTTTGTTACAATTTTTGTACTATACACAATTTACAAAACAATACATTTCTTATTTTTATTGGAAAAAAATATTCAAATTAATAATTAGAAATAGCAGGCATTAAATGGTCATATATGTGATAATTGTTTGATTTTAATTGAATTCTACCTAATATGTGTTATTTATTTTTGACACGCAAGAAAAAAGTATCAAAATTTGTGAATTTGGAGAAAAATAAAATAAAATAATAGCAAATGACCACCTAGTTAATCATGATCATGACTAATTCCACCCTTATGACATGAAAAATTAATAAAAAGTCTAAAAGTCCAATTATTGCAAAAAATAGAATTAGGAAAAAAAAAAAAAAAGGGTGCTACACGTTTTGAGTAAGAGGACAGCCAGAGCATTAACGCGCAGGACAAAAGTAGAGTGACTAATTCGTAAATCGCGCAAGAGCAAATCGACCGTAAGATTTTCCTTTAGTGCCAAACTATTATTATGTTTTTTGTGTGTTCTTCGCTATTTTGTTGAGTAAATACTTTTTTTTTTTTTTTGTTTGAGACTATTATAATATTTTGATGCTTGTGTTATGGATATTTTTTATTATTTTATAAAAGCAATTTTTTATTATTAGTATTTGCTTAATTCTGAAAATAATGTTTATAATTTTTGGATTGATTAGAAATTTTGTTGCAACTATTTAATTCTGTTTAATAATCGATGATCAATTCGAATAGGATATTTTTAGTTATATTCGCATTTGAGCAAGTGACAATCGAGTTGAATAGTTCTTTATTGGGGGTTAAGCAATCAAATTTAATTGCTTCTCTTAGGCAGTAATTATTTTGAATTGAGTTTTCCTATATTGGAATGCAGTTAGGCAATAATTCACACGGACATACCTATGTTTATTACGTTAATAAAGTGTAGTTAACGAACATACTTTAATTACCTATATTGTAAAAAAAAAAATTGATTGTCAGTGCTGCTGGTTAAAAATTATAATCAATTTATTGATACTTCAATGAAAACTAACTTCATTAGATTGATGAGAAGAGCAAGACTTTCCCTTTGATATGCATTCATCAATTAGTTTAATTGTTTTGTTATTTTATCTTAGTAGATAACAAAAAAAAAAAAAAAAAAAAAAAAAAAAAAAAGATCATCTTTTTCATTTGTCTATGAGAGTATATACCTAAAACATCTTAAATTCATTATACATCCCAAATACATAGGCTTATTACGTGTGACACGGCCACATTTTGTTTATTATTATTAATTCATTTATAACAGTTAAGCATGATTGATTATAAGCCTCCCCACGGCTATAAAAGGAGCACATATTTCCCTATATTCTTACAACCTAAAACCCTAAAACTCTTACAACCTTAAACCCTAAAAAATTCTTAATAACAACAATGAACTCTCTTACAGTCCCATGCTTCTTTCTCTTCTTCCTTTTCCTAAGTGTAGCTGCCCAAGATATAGCTGTGCCGGTGCTCGACTCCGATGGAGACGAGCTCCAAGCCGATCAGAAATACACGGTTACTCATGTTACTCAAGTCGCGGGGACTAAAGGCGGCCTTTCTCTCGAATACAGTGGACCTAGGTGCCCGGCTTATGTTACCGCAGAAGCCCGCGGGGTTATAGGGATTCCAATGATATTTCACCCTGTGAATTGTGATGAAGGCCCGATTTATGAGTCGGCCACTGTATACATAAAGTTCACTTATAATCGTGTCTGTACCGAAGTTTCTGCCGTATGGAAAGTGGATGACTATGTAGACGAGTCGACAGGGTTGTACTTTCTCATCGCCGGAGGAACCATCGGCGACAAGAGAAGTCAATTGAAAATCGTGAAATCTTTGAAGGGAGACGAGGGCTACAGGTGTTTTAAATTAAAGCGTCTTGTATTCTTAAAAAATTTCAATGGTCGAGTTTTTAGGATATTTTTTGTTTGCGGTCTCATAGGAGTCTCGCACTATTTTGTGTACTAAAAAATAATAATATTTTAATATAAAAGTAAATTAGGTAAAAAGTAAGTGAACGATATTATAAAAAATTTATTAAAAAGATAATAAAAAAGAGTGGGACGTGTAGAAATCGCATTGAAAAGTTGGTTATGATTTTTTCAAAATAAAAGTAATAGTTAATACCCTTTTTTTTTTCTTTTTTTTGAATTATTATGAATAAATTGTTTATGAGTTTGGCAAAGCGACAAAAAAGACAAACTGACATAATCATTTCAGATGGAGAAACTATATTACTCCCTCTATCGTGTAAATCTATGTTCAAATACTCACAACCAATTTTAATAAAAATAAATAATAATTATTACTTTTTGCATTTTATAGTAAAAAACATTAAAAAAAAAACTATACTAGTACCTTTTTACTCAGAAGGAAATGATAATATTTTTTTTAGCAATCTAAGAAGAAAAATAAACATAAATTTGCATGCGGAAGAGAGTATAATAATACAAGTTCATTTTTCAATTAAAGCAACCTTTTAAATATCAATTTACATCGACTTGAAATTTTTTATTTTTAATTTAATGTGCACTTAATGTGTTGCGAAAAATTTCTCTTCAACAGCTTTGTTTCGTGCGGTTTGAGCGAATGCACGAGTATTTTTGAGTATTCTGATAAGAATCTGACCCGGTTGGCTCTTGGCAACGATGAGGATGCTGCGTCAATAGTGTTTCACAAGTATCTTCTAACCTCAACCTCCTCTATCATGTGATATGAATATGGAAGATGGCCGAGATCGTGGACAATGAATAAAAACACGTTGTAATAATGTTTGTTGTAAGATAATTAAGTACCTGTGTGACAATAATCTACCGAAAAGGTAGGGTTGAGTGTATTATAAGGTCTAAATTCGAACATTCTTGGTATGGTATATATGTTCATAACCATATGTTGAATATTCGGTATGTGCAATTTCATTGTGAGTGATTTTCTAATGCTCTACTTACGGAGCAAATGAATATGCTATATGTGCAACTAGTCTTACTTCTTGAGTCGAATATTTGATAGGGTGAGCCCCGTGACGAAACTAATATCTAAATCCGGAGGGAGCAAAAAATTATAATTTATTTAATATTTAACTAATAATTTTTTTAAAAATAAAAATAGCAAATTGTATATAAATACATAAAAATTAATATTTTTAACATTAAAAAAATTATAAAAAATTAGGCCTGGATGAACCAGTGCTAAGCATACTAATCGAAAAGTTGATACAATTACGCCAACCCGATAGAAACCTAAGGTATTTGAGTTTATGATCGCGTGATAGCCTAAATCAACATAATATATAGAAAATTAAACAAATGCACATTTCCAACGCGTTCTTAAGGTAAATGATCCGGTGACTATCGAGAAAACTATTGATAAAATAAGAACATAATCCAAAACAAAACGAAGAGAAAGAACCATCCTAAATGAGAGCTATAAGTTTGAAATGAAAATTAAGTTTTGAATGAAATAGTTTTAAGATTTAGATCATTGAACAACAGGGAAGAATCGAAAAAGGGACTCAATTACTTGGATGTAATTTGTGTTATTTTTTATTAAAAAAAATAATAATAGATGTACCAAAATAAGTCCCATTCAAATTTATTTCCATCTTTTTTTTTTTTATAGTTGTCATAAATAAATAATTTTTTATTATAAAAGAAAACAAATTTATATTTTTACCCATTATTTTTAAAATTCGTGTGCAATCAAATAGACATAAATTTAAATGACAGAAGTGCCTAAGACCAAAAAAAAAAAAAAAAAATTATTTCTAGTCATCAAAACTAATCTACTACTTTAAGAAGCAAAATAAATAAATAAATAAAGAACAAAATCTATCAAATGACACAGAATTTGAAATGACAGTTTCTATGATGAATTCAAATTAATGGAAAAGAATTATTAAGTACTTATGGATTTGAAATCTAACTTTAGCCAAACAATATATCAAAGTTTCATTAGGTCTCGTTTCATTGGGACATTTGGGTAAAAAAATAAATTGAAATTATTCAATAAAATTTATTAATTATATTTCGCGCGGAGACAGATTCAAATTTCCAAAGTTGATCATGAATTTCATATTTATCTCCTTTAATATTTTAAATTGTTATAAATTACGAAGAAAAATAATGAGATTGCATTATTGATCAGCAAAATAAAGAACCTATATATAAGCAATACAAAAAAGACTCAAATCTAATAATCTAATCTATGGATAAGATCAAATCTGCATGTAATATAATGTGAAACTCAATATTTAAAATATATCAACATCCCCGCAAACGTAGTATGACAGAAACCCACTTGAGTTTGATAAGAAATTTGAATATAAACACAAAAAGAAAACACAAATAAAATTAGTAGTCAACTCTCTAGCGGAGGAAAAAAACCCGAAGTCGCTACCCGAAAGTGCGCACTAGGTAAACTCCAACCCCTACACCACAATGTCATCCCTTACGGGATTGTTCGCTAGTCTAATTGTCATACACTCACTCTTATCTCCATCTTCTTCGCCATTAATTTGTTGTCATCCACCCTCGATTTAATAGATATTCAAATTTATGAAAACGTTGTTGTAGTAGATATTCTTCTTAGCTCTTTTGGTCATCGCGCCATACAAGAGGACAACCTTTTGTTCGCTGGTCTATTTGTCATAAGCTTACTCTTATCGCAATCTTCTTTGCAATTAATTTTTTATTGTCAATACTCGTTGGTTGCCTGTTGTCATTCACCCTCAATAATTTTAGGGGTGTCAAAATTAAACCGGTTGGATTTGAAATTTTACAAGTTTGGATTTGGGTGGTTTGGGTTTTTTAAAAATCAAATTGACCCAAACTTGAAACAAAAAAAAAAAAAAAAAAAGAAAGATTAAATCAGGTCGGGTCTCAAACATATGTGATAATCCGAAATATAAAAATCAGGTCACTTGATAATCGGAAACCTGATTTTATTATTAATATTATTTTTTTAATATATATTTTCAAATTATAAAAATTATAAATTAAAATATACTTATATAAAAAATATAATTATATATATATATAAATAAAAAAACAGACATTCATATTTGTTTCATATCAGGATTTTTTTTAGATAAATTTAAAATTTAAAAATCGGGTTCGGGATGTGTTCGGATAGACAGATTTTTTATTATATCCACAACTCAACTTGATACGAACATAACTCGAATACACAAACTGACACCCTGCTCAGTTTAATAAATATCCAAATATATTATTATATGATTGTAAAAGATATTCTTCTTTGTTCATTTGCAATCAAAGTTATTCAATAATTGTACGAAACAAACTAATTGAAACTCGTGATAAAATTATAATGTGTCCATCTATATATATTGATTACGATGTTGACAATAAGTTGTTTATACTCCACTCAAGCTACAAAAGTTGGTTCTCAAATAGATTTAATTCTACCCGTGCTTATGGAACAAACATGTGCCTATGATTTGGGATGTTTGAACTATTTTGAAATTGGAATTTTTTTTAATGAAAAAAATTTTGTTAAAAGAAGTACTCTTTGAATAGAAAAATAAGCTTACAATGTGATGTTTTTAACAAAGGATATATATATATATATATATAAAAGGTGGAAATTTGCAGTGCTACTATTCGAGTGCACTATAGGTAAACTTTGGTCGAACCTAATACCCTTCAAATTATATTCGACAAGGCTAATCACACTAGATGAACCATATATGATTGATAAGACCTGAAAGCATCGAGGGTTTTTACTCATAACCTCTAGTTTAGATAATATTGAAAAATAATTATAAATGTGATGTTTTCCAAGTGAAATATAAAAAAAAAAAAAAAAATTCTATAAGGCATATAGTACCAAAATAAGATAGGTGTGAATGGAAATTCTCTTATGTTATTTTGACATATGAACTAATGGTGTCTTAATTTCTGCAACAAAAATTTTCCAAAGGACAAAAAGCATATTTGAGGAAATATCAAAATATCAAAATATGGAAACTCACTGCTTCCATTTTGGTGCAAAGGGAAATTAATGTGGAATATTTTATTTCAGGAATGTGAGTGATTTACTCAATCGGATAGGGTTGAAGATTAGTAATGAGTGATTTGGAGATCATACTTTAGAGAGAAGAATATTGAGTGAAGCTCTCATCCCTCTATCCATATCGATTCTATTTAGTTTGAATGAGTTTTTGACAGAAAAATTCGCCAGAGAGGTCGACGGTGATTGGAGTTAAAGGAGTTCCAACCGGAGAGGATGATCAAACTCTGAGCGGCTCTCCTATATGGTCGTTGTCAGTACGTGTTTGTGACAACGTGAACCTGTTGAGGTATTTTCCAAGGAAAACCATGATAGAAGTTTGAGTTGAAAGAGTTGTGATTGTTTATACTCTGTCATCAGCAGCACTGATTAGTAGAATATCTCCTGAATTGAAATCCCCCAGATGTAGATTGGTTGATAATCGAACCGGGTTAACAAACACCTTGTTTCATATGTTGTTTTGTATTCTGCATTTTATTTGTTGTTAAGGGGTTGTTTTAACTATGACCTGACCATGCTTCAGGAGTTGACCCTTAGTTGGTGTTCGAATGAGATTATTCGATAAATCACCGTCCCAACAATAGAAAATATAAACCACACAAGATTCCTCCATTGCTGAGCATTTATACATATTGCACTCTCAAAGAGCAAGCATAGAAATATATATTATCTTCGTCCGATAATAATTACGCGATTACGCGTTTAGGTTGTAGTACATTATTTTATACAGTGATATTTTCGTAAGTTAATGATAGTAAATTATATTATTATATTGTATTTCATTGAACTTGTGTATAAATATTTAGTCAATATTTAATGATGAATAGTAAATTTTTATTCCATTGCTCCTTTTCTTTTTCAGGTTGAATGCTTATGTATTTTAGTAAATGAAAATTTATTGAACATGATTGTAAAGGAGAAAACATTTTAGTGTATATATTTTTACAAAGTTAATAATTTATTAATCAATCTTCAAAATTTTCAAAATTACATTACCATGATTTAAAAATAAATAAATAATGAGAAAATATAAAGAGACCCGGCATTAAATTAACGGGAGTCCCCAATACGCATGATTCGAATTCGAGACCTAAGACTCTAATATTATATGTCGCATATGCAGAATAATCGTCCCACCTAAAAGCTCAATTAGTTATTAGAAAAATACATCATTAATATATATATCCACAAGCGAAAATCCCCAACAATGAAATGAAAGTAAGATCTTCATTGACTATGAAATTGGGGAATTTTTTATCACTCTCTTTCTTCATATACCAAACCTCTTTCACTCATCAAACACTATGTATATATATATATAGATAACACTATATTAATAAAAGAATAATTGTAATACTCCTACATTGTAATACTCCTCCATCTTATTTGATGTTTATATATATTCTATGTACTGTCAGTATTGTACTTATAGTCAACACAGTAGCATCTCCGGAATTCTAATCATATTTATATTATATTATACATATTTTTATATTAAAATAAAAAAAAATAAAAAAAAAAAAACTATTTCTCCAATAGAAAAATTAAAAATTCCTTTATTCAAAAAGACAAAAATGCCCTTCATATTTCTCCTATAAAAAACCCTTGAGCCATACTTCATTTCATCATCATCCTTCAATTGCTTCTTTAGCTTCCATATCTCAAAAATGATAATGAAACTATTTTCCCTCTCTTTCCTTCTCATACTCATCCATGGAGTTCCCGCCAACTCGGCTTTCGTTCGCGACGCCGACGGCGATGTAGTCACATCCGTAGGCGAGTACTTCATCCGCTATAGTGGCATTGGTTTTTCTGGAGGCATCGGTCTCTCCGGGTGGTCGCGCCTAACATGCCCCGCCAGCGTCATCCAAATGTCGTCCGAGGTTGATAGAGGCCTCCCGGTTAATATCACGCCCCTCATCCAGCCCCGCAACTTTAGACCATTTGCAATCTACGAGAACGCGTCGGTCTTCATCAATTTCCCTCAATATGTCACCGGATGTCCTAACGGCGAGGCCTATTGGCACGTCGATATGTCCCAAGTGGTTGGGAAATTCCTCGTTGGGGCCGGCGAGTTGGCGCCCGGCCCATCAAGTCATTTTGTGATAGTTCCGGCCGGGAGAGAAAATGTCTACACATTAGCCATATGCCCGCCGATTGCGGGGCTTAAATGCCTCGGCCTCGGGATTCACCGGTCGCTCGGTCAGGATCGCCTGTCGGTGAACGATCAGCCCAACGACCTCGCATTTACGTTCTCGTTTGTTAAGAAGGGCGCCGTAGGTGCGATTAAGAAAGTTACAGGTGCCTAGTTCCGACCTGGGGTTTACCCATGGTGCGCACTTTCGAATAACGGTTGTGAGTTCCATGTTATTATAATAAAAATAATAATAATAATAAATAAAGAAGAAGTTACAAGTGAACTGAAGTAGTTATGATCGAATCGGAATAGTAATGAATAAGAATAAGGTGTAGCTGTTGTCGATCAATCGAGTTCATGACAATGGCCTTATGTATGTATGTGTGTATGTATGCTTTCGTTGTCTCTCGACAATCACAAATACATAGTACCTTGTTTGGTTGTACATTAATCGATGTTTTCTTCATCCATGGTTTTTATTTTTCATTGTGCGTCAAACTTAAAAATATACAGTTTGTTCACTCTAACGTTTTTAGATGAATTGATTTTTTATTCGTGGTACGGAAAACTATTTTTAGATGAATTGACTTTTTATGTGTGGTATAAAAAACTTTATTGGTAATATAAAAAATAATATTTTGTATTGAATGATTTACTTTTCACGAGTAGATAATATATGTTTTATATTAATGTGTGTGTATTTGTATTTTTTAATAATATTTATGAGAAATTGTTTCATTGACAAATATTGGGTGAACAGACTAATACTCTTTTTTTTGTCTAGACTAAAAATATATATATTTTTTTTACTACTACTATCAGAAATATCATTAATTTTTGTATAAATTATAAACATGTCAAAAGTTCCTAAAGGATTGACATCAAAGTGTGGAAGTAAAGTCGTGACCGTGATGTCATAAGTTCAAATCTCCGACGCCTCTACGCACCTGTTAATCTAGAACACACTCGACGAGTAACGTCAGTGGATTCCCAATTTTTATTATTGTACCCACCTTACACTTGACCTGATATTCAAATAATTGGATCCAACTCATTAATTATCTTAATCTTAATCAATAATTATTTCTATTACGTGATAATTATTTTTTACTAATATATTCTTAATATTTTACAAATTATACTTTTTCTAAATTCTCGTGTCTACAGCAAAACAAATATAATAGCTGGGACGGAAGGAATATCAAATATTATGTTCAATAAAAAATAAAAAAAACTAAAAAAAATCAAATTCAAATATTTTATTCTTTTGGAGCATTATTTTAAATTTTTTACTATAAAAATAGATTATATATTCTATTACAAAATATCATATTCAAATTATTATTCAAATAAACAAACTGAATAAAATAATCAAAATTATTTTTTAGTATTTCAAATCAAAATCAACAATTTTTATTTTGTATAATTTTTAATAAAAATATATTATTTTTTCTTACAAAATACCGCATAAAAATATTATTTAAACAAACATTCAACATAAAAAAAAAAAAAAAAAAAAAAAATTATTCCGCACACATGCATATGTACCTTGATTGGAGCATAGACAATTTATTGTCACATCATACTCAATAAATCGAGACAAACTATAATACTCCATATAAATCACGTGACTAAAACTCTTTGGTACAATTATTGAATAATTTTGAATGAATACAATTGCAAAGATCAGTATCCATCAATTATTGAAGTATTTGATATACTCGGTCATATTTGTAGAAAATAATTACAACATATATTTACTAAAATTTGGAGAAACTATACAAATATATAGATCAATATAATTATATATATATATATATTTGGCCAGCGAGTATCCGCCGCCGCAGCTTCCCAAGATATTGCAGCGTCGCAGTCAGGCTGCCGGTTATTAGCTGCCCGACGACTATTTGCAATACACGGCGACGACTACCCTGCCCAATAGACGAGATGTTGGCAATGCGGCGTATCTTGTTTAGGAGACTGTTGAATAATAATCGCTTCAATTCGAAGATAGGAGTGTTCTCGACCAATCCGACCTAATCCAATGTAATTCTAATCTATGTACGGGTGTGTTTGTTTGGGGATTGGATTTTAAATACACTATTCATCTCATTTTTCCCCCAAAAAAATATCAAATCAAACACCTATTTTTTATTTTTTATATTATATAAAAAATTAATTTTATATTCAAAATATCACATCAACACTTATTTATATCAAATCATACAACTATTCAAATTCAAAATTTTTACTATTTAAATCCCAATTCAAAATCCAAGGCGATCACCTGGGTGCGCCCAAGGCTCCAAAATTTTTAAATCCTTTGGATGTATAAATATATATATATATATAATAATAATTTAAATATATTTATATGTAATATGTTTTAAAAAAAATAATATGTTTTTATTTATATTAAAATTAAACTAAAACAGTAAAAAGTATTACTTTTATATTATTTATATAAAAAGTAATTAAATAAGGGCTTTATTTTTTATTTTTGTTCAAAGCGTATCAAAATTCAAGAACGGCTTGAATACTATACTTCTCATGTCGTCCTCACCATCATCATCATCATCTTTTACCATAATAATAATAATAATAATAAACCATAATTTGTATCGTGAGATCATGGATCCAAACCCCTGACTCTCAGCTCATCTGCCTAGTGTGTCTTATCTGTCGAATCTAGTTTGCAGGGTATTAAATTCGGCCGGAGGTTTACCCAATACGCACTTTCGAGTAGCGACTGCAGATTTCCATGTCATTAAAAAAAAAAAAAAAAAAAAGGTCCTGTAAGCCGATGCCTCAGGTCACCTACCACAAATGATTCACCTAAAAAAAGAATAAGAAGTAAGACGTCATAAAAATTTAAAAAAAAAAAAAAAAAGTCGTGTAAGGGATGGCCTGGTGTTGGATGAACTTATAACCATAAAGTCATGAATTCAAACTTTTACACCTCGGTTTGTCTTGTCGGGCCTAGTTTTGTGTTAGTTGTAAGGTATATTAATTTTCAATTTCGGCAAGTATTTTAGGGAAAATCTAAAGTATTTGAAATGTTGGTTTCAAAAAGAATAATAATTAAAATTATTAAATATATATACATTTATATATGAAAATTTTTAATGAAATTGTACATATTTCTTATGATTATTAATGAACATATACAAGTTATAATAGAAGTTCAAACAGAATAATGAAATTAAATAATATTATTAATTGTAAGAATAATATTATAGTAAAATTCATATATTTTATTCGACACAATATTTAACTCCAAGTACATTTTCCAAAGGATTAATGTTAAATATCCTCCCAATTTTCATCTCCCTCGTCCGAATAAAAGTTAGTGGTGTCTTATGATGTAACATGTTGATAATTTTCAAAATTCTTCTTTTATTATTTTTTTTCTCATAGTCCTCTGTCAAAGCAATTTGATTATTATATAATAAATAAAGGTAATAAAATTGCGAAATAAAAAACTTGTTTAGTATAAAGGATAATTAAAAAAAAAAAAATTTAAAAAAAAGAAAAAAAAATTGGCATAATATATTATTCCACACGGAGAGAGTATAATAAAACGTATATATGCTAATCAACTCACCTTACGATTTTTATTATATTATCTTAAATAATCATCTCACTTAAAATTTTAAGTTAGTAAAAATACTTTTTTTTTTTTTTTTCCTGACACCTCCATTATTTATTTATTTATATTTTACGGAAATCAACAAACACGTCTCCGCATGCGTGCAAGGGGATATGCATCATCGTACGAATCATCATATTCTTACTTGATTACGTAACATTGGTTGCATTCAGATCCAACTGGCTCCCTATTGATGTTCCGAAGTACGCTTGGAGTTTTTTAGTCGTTCATTTTCAGACTATAGGTCTTGCCATTACTATCAGTTTTGGAGCACTCTGAACTCCATTCGACAACAATCTGGCTAGTCTGTCAATGAGTTTTTTGCACAGGCATGAGGTTGTTCGTGCATCATTGCTATATCGGCATTCATTACCTACTCTTGCTACTATTGAGGAGATTAACTTTGAGTAGAGATTTGATTTCAGGTAGATAAGACACCAAACTCTGATACTATATCAAATAATATTAAATGATCGTCTCACCTAAAAAATTAAGTTAGCAAGAATATGATCATTTATTTATTTATATTTCACGGGAGTCAGCCAACAATTTTTATTTACGATTGTCAAGCTTTTAACCTTATTATTATTATTACCATTTGATCATCGATCACTTCACTCGAACAACTTTCTTCGTCGACCCAAAAGCTCGCTTCTTAACAAACTTGAACTCGAAGGGAATCTCGTCGGTCTGAAAGTTCACCACCAAACGGTCCACACCGAGCAAGTTTGAAAGCCCAAGTTTGAGACATTGAAGCCACGCAATCGGAAGGCATACCTCAAACGAGTACACATTTTCTCCCCCGGCTGGCACGACTCTAAATTGACTCGATGGACTAGATATCGAGTCGCCAGCCACAACAAGGAACTTCCCATCCAACTCAGAAATCTCGACACTCCAAGCCGCGGCTCCATATTCACACCGTGTGACGTATTGCGGGAAATTGACGTAAACCGTCGAGTTCTCATAAATTGTTGTCTCGGAAATCTTGTTGGCGGGCGCAACGAGGGTTTGGAGAGTCACCGGGAGGCCTCTATCGACCTCGGATTGCATTTGAATTACACTCGAAGGGCATGTTAGCCGGGACCACCCGGGGAGTCCGATGCCCCCGCGAAAACCAAAGCCCGCGTAGTCGATGTAGTACTCGACTCCGGTTTTGACCTCATCGCCGTCGGAGTCGCGTATCGGCGTCGATTTGGCGGGAACTCCATGGATGAGTATGAGGAGCAAAGAGAGGGAAAAGAGTTTTATTACCATGAATTGAAGAAGCTATGGATGTTTGGATGATGAAAATGGAGTATAGCTAGGGGGTTCTTATAATAAAAAGATTTGAAGGGTATTTTGTCATATTTACATCGTGGAATGGACTATGAGATATTTTAAGGGTGACCCACCTGTATTTTTATTGTTATGTATATATATATTTATATGTATCGTGAAATTGATAGTGAATTGTTTGTCATTGAAAACATGTTACTCCCTCCGTCGTTCAAATGTGTGCTCATTTGACCGGATACGAATTTTAATAAAAGTGAGTAATAATTGTTAATTTTTTCTTTTATAATAAAAAAAAATACAAAAATGAAATAATTTTTTATTTAAAAAGGATATGAGAATATTTTTCAATGACAACTCAAAAAGGAAAATGAGCATAAATTTGAACGAGGAGGAGGGAGTATTAAAATTAAAAATTATTTAATGGATATTCATATTTGCTTAAATTTGTTTGTTTGTACTCAAGGTTATCCAATAATCGTAAAACCAAAAACCAAAAACTCACAATATTTACAAATTATCATTTGTTAACATTGAATATAATGTTGACAACCTATTATCCACGAGCCACTCAAACTACATAGATTTTAATCGACATGTGCTTAAAACTCATGGGATAATAAGGAATATATATATATATATATATATATATATATTATTTCTCATTTTATCTAGAAAATTGTGTGTTTGTTTATATTTTGGCCAATGGGATACGGAATATACTTGCTCCGTTCTAAATACGGTGAAATATTTAGTTTTTGATATGGAAATTTAATTGAGTAGTATTAAAAATCAGATAATCAAATGTAAAAGATAAATACATATTTATTTTTATATTAAAATAATGTGATGGGATAAAGTATAATTAATTCTTTTATTTTAAAAATTATTTAAGAATATGTATTGCGGAGCGTACCAAAATACAAAATGTTAACAAAAGAAGTTTTTTTTTTTATGAAAAGGAAAATGAAAAAGAGGAGTATGTGCTCACCAATATAAATCAATATAAAGATAGTGGGTGATATTTGTGAAAATTTAGTTAGTTATTAAAGTAAATAAAGAGATAAAATGTAATAAAGATAGTTGTATTTGTTGTAAATTAGTATTTAATGGAAGATAATAGTTAAATATTTATTCGTTAACTTTTTCAAAATTAGTAATAAAAGTAAATTTAACAAACAAATTCAAAATAAAAATAGAAATAACGGAAATCAAATCAAAACCAAAACTAAGGAAATCTTGACAATCAAATCAAAACCAAAACCAAGGAAATCTTGACAAACACATACCTTTAATAATCCACATCTTCAATTTTCATTATTCAACACATAATTCATCAACTATACATTTTTTGAAGACAAAGAATATATTTTCAGAATAGATTCAAAATTTAGGTTTTAATTCTTGTTTGCTTTCAATTCAAACTACCCAACACAGGCAACTGAAATAACGAACACCGTTGTAAAATCATTTTCAAATCAACAACGGGAACCTACCCGACATTTTAGGGCACCGGCATTGGTGGTGATTGTGCCCACCAACGAAGCCGGCCTTGCATTGAAACTCGATGCTTTAGAATAGCTCGGCGATGAACCATCACCCGATGGCGTAAAATATGCACCATTTAACATGAGGTCTCCTTCCGATCTCCAATTCCATTTTTTCCACTGATTTTCGACGGCTTCCTCACGTTTTGTCACCTTTGTCAATTCCAACAAAAATCGTTTAGAATATACTAATAATTTTGTATAGAACGGATACAAATAAAATTTAAATTTTCAACAAACTGAATTTAGGTCAAACTCTAAATTATTGCAATATTTTGTCAACTTCGCCAATCTCAGCAAAAATCATTTAAAATATACCAATAATTTTTCACATAATGAATACAAATAAAATGTAAATTTTCAACAATCCAGATTTAAGTCAAACTCTAAAGTATTGCAACATTTTGTCACCTTCGTCAATCCCAGCAAAAATTATTTAAAATATACCAATATTTTTTTTTACAGAACGGATACAAATAAAATCAAAATTTCAACAATCCGGATTCATGTCAAACTCTAAATTATTATTGCGATGTTTTGTAACCTTCGCCAGCAAAAATCATTTAAAATATACCAATAATTATTCATATAACGGATACAAATAAAATCAAATTTTTCAACAATCCGGATTTAAGTCAAACTCTAAATTATTGCAACCTTATTTGTCACCTTCGTCAATCCCAACAAAAATCGTTTAAAATATACCAATAGTTTTTCACATAACGTGTACAAATAAAATCAAAATTCTCAACAATCCGGATTTAAGTCGAACTCTATTATTGCATAGTTTTGTCACCTTGGTCAATCCCAGCAAAAATCATTTAAAGTATACCCATGATCACATAACGGATACAAATAAAATTAAAATTTTCAACAATCCGAACTTAGGTCAAATTCTAAATAATTGTAATAAATGGATGGGATTTACTAATTTAACAAATTACCTCTTTGCAAACATTGTCATTAGAGGCAAGAAATCTATTGCCTTGGCTATTAATAGTTGGTGATGCACTCCCACCTATTGCATACATCTCCCATTGTGTGTAGTCATTATTTACCACATGGAAATATCCATGCCTACATCTACATCACAATAAAATCTTCTTAATTTTTATGAAATTAAAATTGAAATAATAAGTATTATTATTATATTAGAAATTTAGGATAATTACATATGTATTTTAAATTGACCGTGTATGGTAAATGAGCCTATAAAAGATATACTCTCTCCGTCCGATCAAAATAATTCATTTGGATTCGACACGAAAATTAAGAAAAATTAATACTTACTCCGTCCATTTTAAAAATATACATATATTTTTAGTGCACAGTTTAAAATTTATAGTATTTTAATTATAATAAATAATAAAAAAATTTTACCCTTATTTTTTAATATAAAAGTAATTATATGACAGTAAAGTAGATGTATCTATGGAGAACACCGAGGTTCATATTTATTAAAAATAAAATGATTACTTTATAATTGAAAATTCTAAAATAGAAATGTGTATACTTTTTCAATGAACAAAAAGAATATTATATTGAAAAAAAATGAAACTATAGTTGAAAAATCTTTTAATAAAGAGTAATAATTAAACGTTGAAATTTTGATTTTACTAAAATTAGTAATAAGTTAAAGTTAACATAATGAAAAAAAAAAGAGTAAATTTGATAAAGGAAAAAATATTTCTTTATAATAAAATGTTTATTATCACCACGTTGTATTTTTAGTTTTATTCCAAATTTTTACTATAAGCAAATATACGCTCTTCAATTAAAAAAAATTATATTTTTCATACAAAAAGTTATATCCAACAATTATTTCATATTGAAAAAAACCTATTTAATGAAAAACACACACCTACACACAAAACAAACATAATTATATTTTTCATTCAAAATATTACGTCACCAATTTATTTTTACTCACAACTTTTATAAATCCTTTGGGTGATATATATATATATGTATATATAATAAAATTCCATAAATACCTGGGCATTCTTTGGACGAGGCCTTCTCCAAAGCGATTAAAAGCAATAGTAACTTGCATGTTCTTGTCGTCCACGTACTCGTCGCTATGTCCTAACAGCATCACCTTGTCGTGACTCCTCATGTAATTATTCGACACTGTAATTGCCGTCGATCCGTGCGTCGCGTCGATCAGCCCGTCCGCGCAATTCCACATGCTGCAGTGATCCACCCACACGTGCCGACCCCCCTGGATCGACACCCCGTCGCCGTCCGATCCCATCCGCCACCCATGGTGCTCCGGGGAGTCCCGGACCCAACCTGTTGAAATATTTTAAATATTTGGTTTATAGTTTCAATTTAATTTTTATTGTACATATTATATTACTTTTCTTTAAATTTATATGATCTTTTTATTACGACTACTATATATGTGTAAATTTATTATTAATAAAATTAATTTAAGAAAAACTTGAATTTGTAGCGGATATATTTTACACATTTGATTTATTGTTGAGATTAGTAGTGTGTTTAATGTCAAATGAAAACAACTATTCTGTCGCAACATTCAATATTATTTAAATTTAAATTCAAATTAAAACGAAGTAAACCCTACTAGGATTGTTTCGATGTTTAAATAATAAAATTTTCAATTTAAACAATTATTTGATATAGAGTAACAATTATTTGATATAGAGTTAATCGATATTGATATAATATATTAAACATAAAATAACAATAATAAATATTTATTTAATTTAATATATTTTAAAAGGAAAAATATTTTATTGTAATAAATTTCCACAAAAGAATATAATTTAGGCTTCTATTATCATTGATTAAGTTATTACTCTCTCCTTTAGATAAGAAAAATAAATATTTTATTAAAAGAATATAAAAATAAAAATTATTCGAAGTATTTTAAAAATTTAGTTAGAAATTAAAAATATAATAAAATTAGTAATAATTATTATAAATAAGTGCAGAAAAAAAAATAATAATAATAATTAAATATTAATTTATTGATTTTGTAATCTATAAATTTGAAGGACTAAAAAGAAATGTGAGAATTAATTCGATGAAACTGAATATTTTTTTAACTTATTCGGTTATTTATAATCTCTATTTTGTTATTAAAATTTATAATCTCTATTTTATCATTAATAATATAATCCAATTTTGAAATTTTGCAAACTGTAACACAACCGTCCCTCGCCGGCCGGCAGTCGTGGATCTGGACGCCGTGGATGATGATGTTACTCGCGTTCTGGATTGTGATGCACGCGCCGCCGCCGCCGATGTGCACGTCGGCGCCCCTGCCGTCGATCGTCTTGTACGAGCTAATTACGAGGTCCTGCTTCGGCCGGATCGTCATGTCGTGCGCGAACACGATCCACAGCGGCTCCGCCTGAATCGCGCCGTGCCGGAGAGTTCCCCGCCGGGGATTGACGGCGTCGTCGTCGCCGGAATCCGTCACCGTGTAAATCTTGCCGTTCCGGCCGCCGCCGGCGTCCTTGCCGAATCCGATTGCGCAGTCGGCTAATCTCTGGCGGTTTTGATCCCAATTAGGATCGCACCGCCAGCAATCGTCGATTGGATTGCCGGAATTGCATTGCCGGAACCCTAATTTCCGCCGGGAGGCGTTTAGCTTTCTGCATCGCAACAAAACGACGTCGTTAGCTCTGCAACTAAAGAAAGAGGATAACTTAAACGTCGTCGTTCCATTAGAGAAGCGAAACAAGACGGCGTCGTTAGGGCCTCAACTAAGATTTTACGCAGAGCTAAACGGCGTCGTTCCGTCCCAATCAAAACGGTGTCGTTACGTCTTAAACTTATAGACAAAAATTAAAACGACGTCGTTTATACGGAAACTAACTCAATACGGCGTCGTTAGAGCTTCAGCTAGGGTTTCATACATTATTAAAACAGTTACCTGTGAAATTCTTGGAGAACTAAATTAGGGTTTGGAGGAGTTGCAGAGGAGGTAACGAGGAAGGAGATAAAGAGGAGGAGAATCAAAGAGAACTCCATGGATATTGTGTTTTCAGACATTAAGGAAATTGGAATTTTATAATATAATAATTAACGTGGAAGGAGATGAATAACAGAAAGAGACAGACAACATAGTTAGCTAGCAAGCTTGTGAAGGTCTCCATTAATGGCGATTATGGCGGGGAGTGATCCAATGTCCAAATTTGGACAGTCAAGTATAAGACGAAATCTGAAGGCCTAAATAAATATGTAGCTTCCAACCATAAACAAACGACTCAAAGTTTTGTCTGCATTACATAAATTATGAGCTTTTTTCGATCCAAGATTCATGTTCATGACAATTATTTTTTGTTTTTATTACATTCTATTTTATTTTATTTTATTTTTGTTTAAATGGTTTTCTTTGGATTATACTTTGTGGGATTTTAGAATGGTGGATTTTCATGGAATTTTGAGAATTGACAAGAAATTATTATGGTGTGTTCTTCCACCAATTTTAAAAAATACATTTTCCTGAAAAAAAATATTATACACACTCATTATTTTTATATTATTTACACAATTCTATATATCTGGCACAAAAAAACATATATATTTTCAAACAATTTCACTAAATAAAGACACTAGGGTTTAAAAGACACATCGGAATACAAATAGACCACACATCATCAAAAACTCCTAGTGTGTGTTTGGTTGGTAATTTTATCTTTTAAATTTTTTTATTTGAACTATAGTTGTAATTTTCGAATATTGTCTCATATTGGAATATTGTGGAATTCTCTATTACTTACAAGGGTGAAAAGTTATTCCACTTAACACCAATTAATTTTAAATTGGAATTTCGGAACCCTCTTAACATTAATGAGATATTTTGTGAAAAATAATTTTATAAAAAAAAAACCTAAATTATTTTCAAATAATTTCCAAAAGAACACACTTTACATTTACTGTTAAAAGATGTAAATGAAAGGATATGAACACCAATTTTGTTGGGGGAAAAAAAAATTTAAAAAGAACTAGGCCCTTAATCGGTTCATGCAAATAATTAAACCAAAATATTACTCATATTCATGTGGTGTTTTTTATGTTAGTCTGTTTTTTATTTAAATAATATACCCTCCGTCCCGGATAGTTTGTTCGCTTTACTGTAAACACGAGAATTTAGGAGGGATATAATTAGTAAATAATTAAAAACGCATTAGTGAAAATATTTATCATATAATAAAAATTAAAACAATTATAAATTAAATTTTTTTAAATAAGATTAAAGTGTATAATTCTTTTCCAAAAAGAAAGTGATAAAATAAGTGAGACGGACGAAAATGGAAAGGTGGACATGAGAAGTGGGACGGAGGGAGTAATTTAAATTTAATTTTTTATAAGAAAAAAATATAATATTTTTATAAGAACATATAATAGGTGCATAGTAAAAGAACACAGATCAAACTTCAATGTACATAATCAGATTTTTTTTAAATATGTTTTAAAATTATATTTATTTTAATATTTTGTATTATAATATATTGTTATTTAAATTTAATTTTAAAAATAAATTATATTGATATAGATATAAATATATATTTATTTTTTATTAAGATGGAGAAAAGAGATTATGATACGAAGGAAATAGGGTATAATGATGTGGATGGTCTTAGTAGCCCTCCCAAAATCGACTTCAGCTACACTAAATAAGGAACACAGGACAAATTTTGATGTTTGATGATGCAACTGAACTTACTATAATTAATGTATTGTAATTATTATTATTATTATTATTATTATTGCATGAGCAAATTTTTGTTTTTGTGAAATAGTTTGAAATAATATTATTTATATAAGATATAAGAAATTGTGTAAGTAATTTAAAAATAATGAATGTATATATAATGTTGGATAATTTATTATTTTGCAATCGATTATTTTGTAAGTAAAAATTGTGTAAGTAATTTAAAAATAATGAATGTATATATAATGTTGGATAATTTATTATTTTGCAATCGATTATTTTGTAAGTAAAAATGCGAGAGACAGGTGTACCAAATTAATTAGATTAATTTATTTATTGTATATGAGGTTTGGTTAATATTTTGACTATTTTGGCTGGCTCCAGACAAATCAAATTGTACAACCCCAAATTAAACTCGGGTATATGGCCTAAGTGTATTATTTGGATAAAATATTATCCGTTTGATAGATTTATTATAATCTCAAACGGAAGGTTTAAAATTATAATAAATTACAATTCTTTCAAACGGAAGGTTGTTTGAAATTAGAATAAATTACGATCGTCACAAACAAAAAGTTTGTAATTAGAATCAATTACCACTGCTTCAAACGGAAGGTTTGAATTTAGAATAAATTATATCAATAAGTAAGGTCGTAATTATTATCGTAATTGATCCCCTGCAATTTTGGCCGGGTGGAAACGCCTATATAAAGGGTCTTCCCTTCATTCTACCAACACCAATAGCTCTCTCCTCATTTTCCCCTCTCTTCTACCTTTCCGGCAATCTCCTAAACTCAATTCATCTCTCATTTTTGTTGGCCGGAACTCCAACGATTAGAGGTGTCACTTTCACTAGAGACGAAAACCGTTTTATCTTTGGATTAGAACGTCAACTACGGAGGCACTACCAGAGCATATCTAATTTTCGAAAAGAAGATCCATCCTTAACTTAGTTTCACATTTATTCTCTCAATACCCGTATACTCCAATATATAATATGTTAAATTTTTTTAGAAAATATGTTTGATTTATTTTAACAAAAAGAACACACTCTTCATTTTCATCACAAAAACATCAAATATATACAGACACATTCGTGTGTGTATATATATATACATATGGCAACACATTTCATCATGCAAATTAAATTCCTATCTCGGCAACAAGAGAAATAAATATGATGATTTCACTTACTATATTCCCAATTTTCAACTTAATTTAATTTAATGACATAAATGTTCTTTCCAATGATTAATCATTTTTATGTACAGTTACAAAGCACGCACGCTTATTTGTTTGTTTCTTATTAGTTCTCTCCTATGTTCATTTGGCATTTTTTTTACTATTCAATTTTTATGATTTTTTTTTTTAAACAAAATTTACTATTCTCTATACTTGGTAGCTTCGCTGTTTTCTATAAAAATTCTTTTAACATCATAATTGTCATAGCAAGTAGTGTCTACGTCGATCTACTTAGATTGTGAAGTTTAATTTAATTCATATTTTTGTCTCATATTCAACATAGGTAAAAATAAATAAGCTATGAGAAATAAAAAATAGATTCTAAAAAGATTAAATTTTTAGCCCAAAGAGTGAATATGAAACCGGATTTAAGATTCAACCATCGATTTTAAATAAGTTTTTTGTTCAATTGATAAATTGGTTAAAAGCATTAGATACGACCATAACACTCAATTTTTCCTTACTTTATCTGCGGCAATGGTATGACGGATTGACTGTATCCCTAATCAAGGAAATAATTTAGGTACGATCGAAAATTAATTTCTCCAATTAAAAATAGTTCAAGAAAAAATTTTATATTATTTGATCATATGCAATTTCTAGTCCAAGCTTGTCAATTTATTTACCACTTTATCAAACAAATGCACAACTACGGATGCAAATGTTCGATTGACAAACAATTATTAAACCAATCTAAAATTTAGCCGCGATAAAAGATCAAATGAAACAATTGTAGGCATGCATCTTTAATAAACAAGATTCAATTCAAATATATAATTTCACCAATCCAAATCCGAAATTTAAGTTCGGACTAGAATATGAAATTAGCTATTAATGTTTAAATAAATAAAAACAATAAAAGTGATGATCATCCGATGGCGCTTCCTCTCAAACCATTCTTCCCAATCCTCCGACTTAGGCTATGAAATACGAGTGTAAATTGTGATACCCTTCCAATTTCTTAACCCTTTTTTTATAGGCGCACAAACTTTCAATTAGCCCCTTTGTTGCTCCTTTACATCTTCATGTCCAAGCTCGAAAATTTGGCAAGGGCGTATATCATTCAACGAATCACTCATCTTGCTACTAATCACGATTATACCAAATATAGTAGAAATTTTATCCAATATATTAATTAGAATTTATAATTTTTCTACAAAAATACATTATAATATATATTTTATCGGTATGTATTCTTTAAATAAAAGAACTGGGAAAAAAAATCAATATACATTTGTGTGTTAATTTATTTTAAAGTTATGCTATTAATGTAAAAAATATATTTAAACATGTAATTCAGATGCTAAATCATTCAATATATGCTAAACAATATATTGCTAGTTTGAGAAACTTTTATTTGTATTGATGAGATATTTAAATATATATAGTGAAGTACAAATCTTCTCTTAATTATTTCCTTATTTGAATTAAAATATTATAAATATTATAACTATATCTACTTTGAGATTTTTTTTAGAATTATTTATTATACAATTTTATCATTTTCTATAAAAATATATTATTTTATAGACATATAAAACATTACACTCAACTTACTATCTATACAAAAGTAATATTTGAAAAATCCGAAGTAAGCATTGTTGAATGACATACATCAACTTGAGTTTGTACAAAAAACCGAAAAATCAATGAAGAGTTGGCAAAAATGTAGACATGGTGATAAATATAAATTTTTGAACAAAATCCTTCATATGGTCAAATGTAAGACATTATGAGATATATATAAGACTTTAAGAGAATTAGAATTAGAGTAAGAAATTATTAGATACAATGTCCTCTTGAGATATAGGACTTTTAAGATGTTATAATTTGACTAGGAGATTATTAGATACAACGTTTTCTATAGGGTCATAATCGAAATTTTTAGGCGTACGATAGAATATTTAAATTCTACATATTGATTCAAACAGAAAATTCTTAATATAGAATATTTAAATTCTACATATTGATTCAAACAGAAAATTCTTAATACAATTAATCATAAGTAAATCAAAATAAATGATCAGCAGAAGCAAAGATCCAGTAATAAAATTGACCTCAAGTCATTGCTATCAAATTACAGCATATCGAA